TAAGGTGATTTGGAGTTAGCTATAGGAGGAAGGCAGTGTATGGCTTTCTCCATATAGTCGCCAGGAGTCAAGACTAACTTGATGGTGCATGTACGCACACACATACACACACAATAGATGGATAGAATATCCGTTCCCTCTCTGAATTTCAAATCCAAATTAATCTTCCCTATTCTGCTATCTTCCAGGTACGCTGGGGCTGCAGCTTCCTGGAAAAGCCTGATTAGCATGTTTGGCAGGCCATGCAAATGAAAATTGCATTCTCTACAAATAGCCTGGTAGGCAGGCAGGCAGGCAGGCAAAATAACAGCTTCCTGACTTAGTGTGTATCTGTCTGTGGGTCTCGGTGTTATGTATGCAAGTTGCGTCTTGATTTCCAAACACACACCTACCCAAAAGTTGCCCAACAGGCTCTATAAATTAGGTCACTCTGCACTGGATGGGAACATCTTTTGAAGTTGCTGGGTGACTAGACCTCTTTACCATTAACAGGAAATGAAAGCTTGCATGAATTTGCCAACCCTTGAAGCTTGGTAATGGAAGTGAGCAACCACAGCAGGTTACATGTTAGTTCAAAGGAGCCAAATAATTTCCTACCATCAAAAAGGATTTCGAGAGATATCATCTGTTTGAAACTAAAAAGCAACTTCTGATTTATGAGAAGAGCTTTGTGGTATATATTGTTTTGCCATGTGCACAGGAAATAAACACGGGGAAAATGTAACTCGGTACCAATTTCTTTAAGAGTAACTTGTTTGAGCTCATTTGAGCTTACCTTCCTGATAGGTAAGTACAGGGTTACTTATCCATACTTTTTAATAGTACAAACGGTGCTCAGTGGTTACTTATCTCAAATAAAAGAAGTTCCTGTTTGCTTTGAATGTCAGTCATTGATCCAGATAGTATTGGTTCGGTTCTGCCTCCTGGTCATTGTTTAAATTAATAACTCTTTAAAGGAACAAAGTGATCATATTAAAACAATAACAGATTTCACTTAAATACATCAAACTTTTGGCTGCGTAACTCTCATAATTAACTCAGGGGGAGTGTCTTTTTAATGTTGCCAAGGCTATTAAAATAGTAAATATTTTGATGAGCACCAGTGACCATACAGCCTGACTTAATTACATTTAACCTTGCAAGCTTGAGTGCCTCTTTGCTAGATTACATGAACCTTATTTGGCTACAGGTCCCATTAATTAATTTAGTGAGAGACAGCAAGTCAAAATCTTCTCCACTAAAATAATTATTTTGAATCATACAGGTAATCCTTGACTTAGAACTTGTTGCTTGCTCAACTTGTGATTGTTCTAAATTCTGATTGATTTACCACCATTGTCCTTCAGGAACTCAGCAACTGGGTTGCATTTATAGCCATTTGCAGTTTCCCATGGTCGCATAACCACATTTTACAATAGTTTCCTTCAAGATTTTGGCAAAACTGGGCCCATAGAAATATAGGTTTGGCATTCATTTAACAACTGCGGCAATTGCAGTACTCACTTAACGACTGGCTCAAAAAAAGTTTTTAAAATTGGGACAGACACATGACCAACCTGCTTTAAAACCAGTATGAATCATGATGGGCAGGCTCCATTACAGTCATAAGTTTAGGATTACCTGTACAGTATTTTCTTTTCACTGATGAGAACAGCATGAGTCTCCCATGAGCCAATTGTATTAACCAATAGGCCATTACTGGAGCATCAGAATAGACATTAGTCCAGCATTAAGGAAAGTGACACTTTCAGATCTATTTTAAATAACTGAATTATGTGTAATATTAGAATCTTCAGTTTTTAATTAATGAAATAGATTTTTTTACATTCATTAAAACTGTCCCAAATGTGTAGATCTTTATAGCAATAAATAACAATTTGACCTTTCCTCTTTTCTTGATTTATCCCTGCTCCTTTCAAGACTATGTTGGGATACAGGAAGATTGCATTTGCCACAATTATTATGCCACAATGACTCTTGCTGGTTGGCTTTCCAGGTGGTCAGGCATCCCATGTTCAGAAAGCAGCTGTCAATACTCTACCAGTTCACCAAAGATGCTTTCAGGAATGTATACAAATGCAAATCCATGCCAGAAAAAATTCCCCTTTATTAAAATTATTCACTGATTATTCACCTTTTGGGGCAAGATGGTTGAAAAAAAAAGGGTGGTCAGACTGCATTATCAGAGGGCTCTGGAGGCAAAAACCGCGCAGAAAGAGACGGCCGACTCTTTGCAGCGTCGGTCTCTTGAGGCCAGCCGCCTTTTTTTCCCCGGCAGGCCGTCTGCGTCTCGCCGCCAGGTGGCTGCTGTGGCAACCGAAACGGGTTCCACGACCGGCCAAAGTCGCCTCCGCCAGAAATCGAAGGGCACCGCTGGGCTCCGGGCCGGTTCCACTTTAATCAGGCAGGCTTCGGGATCGGAAGCAGGGAGCGGGAGGGCCGAGGGGAACAGGGTTGCAGCCGGGGAGGATTAAATCAGTATTTCTCAACTTTAAGATACTGTGGACTTCAACTTCCAGAATTCCTCAGCCAGCCATGCTGGCTGAGGAATTCTGGGAGTTGAAGTCCACACATCTTAAAAGTTGCCAGGTTTGGGAAACAATGGGTTTAAAAATGCCCATCAATTCACCTGCCAAACTCACAATAGCTTTAGGCAAAGCTTAATCTGTTGCATTCGCAAATTTGGTATGTGGGTTTGCTTGTTTGTTTGTTTTCCTAGGGCGTATTATGCAATTCCATGACACTGAAGATGAAACAGACCTCTCAGTGTTTCAAGGTGGCATCATCAACAAAGAAGATCCTTTGGTCTTTCATTAGATTAGATACCATTACATTTCTGGTTTTCAGAAAATAAACAGAAAATAAATAAATAAGTTCTGAAATTAATCTGCATCCAGCTTCCTATGGAAAACCTAATAGAGTTAGCTGCTTATTCTGGGCCTTGAAGAATTTTGAATTGAGGTTGGCAGCAATGTAGTACTTAATAGCAATGACTTAATAACAAAGGAATTAATCTACGCATGTAATCTGATTTTCACCAATGGAAGGTTGAAAACCATCTTCAAAGAAGGTTGAAAACCACCTTCAAAGACAGTGTACAGCTGATTCCAAGAATAATCTAATTTAAATGTGTCTAGGATTTGATTTCACCTTTCTACATTGTTTTCTAAACAATTGAACACTCAGAATTCCATCTAATATACTCTGAAAAATTTTATTTGTCTCTGGATTACTGCACACACATCTTAAACTATAGCATACCTGGAAAATATAGCGGGTTTGGGTCCAGACTACCTCAATAAAGCAAGTATCATAATAAAGTAAGTCACATTAATGTTTTGGTTTCCCGAGCACATAAAAGTTACATTTACGCTATAATGCATTCTCTTAAATGTACAATAATATTAGGTCTAAAAAAAAAACCCAATATACATATTTCAATTTAAAAATACTTTGTTTCTAGAAAGTTCTAATATCTGAATAGATAAAAATCATTACCTGAGCCTTCACAAGTTGTAATCTTTTAAAAAGCTGGTGGAGCTGCGAAGCACAATAAATAAAGCGAAGCACAATAAAACAAGTTATTGGTTAAGTACCCATTTATTGCCAATGTCATTTCAAAGTAAAAGGTACAGACTATAAAAATGCGATAAAAAGAACTTTTACAGTGCAATTGCTAAAATCTGTTAGTAACTACAAGGAACCTACAGAATACAGATCCAGTTTCTTAACCTGTTTACCTGTCGGGACCCTCTTCCCATTTTAAAAAGTTATGGAGGAACTTCAAAGAGCGTTCATTTGTATGGGTTATATTTATCAATATTTACCGTATTAAAAATTAGAATGAATGCATTTGCTGTTGCTACCACATCTCACAATTGTTTGATGGAATTTTAATGCATTATTTTTCAACATAGCTGGCAAATAATTTTGATTTCTCTGTGAGACTAAGGAACTCTCATAGGACCACACTTTAATAAATACTGCCACAGACTAAACAGTTTGCTGAGTCCTTGGTGCTTTCTGAACTTGGTTGTTGTTGTTTTTTGTAGATGTTTCAGTAGAGCACTGATGATGTTACCCAGTTTGGTAATGAAACGTCTGAAAAAAAAAACCAATCAAACTCAGACAGCACCAAGGACCTCTGTTCAGTTCTGAGCTACAAATATTCTTTTCTGTCGGTATTAAAGAGTTTATATGATGTAGGGTAGGAAATTGGCACCCATCCCTTTCCCAGAAAAATGAAATAGCCTAGGAAATATTAAAAAGGCAGAATATTTCCCCTAAAAAGAGTAGGAACTCAGAAGCAGAAACTCACCTCAGAAGCAGAAGCTCACCCCCACCTTTGTTTATGAGTGGGCCATTAAGGCCTGGGCCAGAATATTTTACATAACAAAGATCTCCAGGTAGAGCTATAATAGGAATTGCCCAAAGCCCTTTCATCACATCATCATCCCTGCAAGGCTCAACCAAGCCTGGCATTCAGGAAAGCCCACAGAGTTGCCCCTGCATGGCCCCATGGGAGCTTGACAACCAATCAGAATACAAGCTCAAATTCAAATCCCAACAGAGGATAGATAAGGGACTCTCAGCATCTCAGCCCTTCCTTCTTTTCCTTCACCCAACATCTTGAAGCATGTGATCATCCTTTTCACTTTGGAGCTCCAAGCCATGTGGTCCTGTCCACCATTAAACCATCTTTCCAAACAGCCTCCATGTTTCCAGTGTCTTTTTCCCCACTTGGAACTGAACCCAGAAAGTTATTTCTTTCAACAGTAGCCTTTCATCTTTTTCTTTTCACGTCTTTTAGATGTGCTAATGATCCGCAATGTTCATATACCTGAATGAGTGCTATTCAGCAATATACAACCCACCCCCAACCTATTCCCCCTTCATGCTATAAAATATCAAACCATGGAAATTATCAGCAAATTTCCCCCCTAAATCATGAATAGCATAGTAATCCAGTTTTGATTTTTTTTTTCCAGCACCAAACGTAGTACTACAATGCAGGCCGACTCCAAGAAAAAATACGGGTAAGACTGTAATTATCCCATAGCAGGAGTATGTATTTACATCTTTTAGCAAGGTGGGCAATATTTTGCTGTTTACTGTGGAGAGATGCATGGTATAATTTTGAGGGGTGCGCTGTTTACATTGCTGGATCCCTCTGACACACAGGAACAAAGCCAAGGGCGTTTGGATTAAAGGAAGTTTTCTTTGTTGTTAATTGTAATGGGGTTATTTTAAAATTATAATCTGTGCACTTTTCCTGTTTCAGTGTATGGGAAATTATACAGTTTTCACCAGTTGAAATTACTGAACACCCAGAAGACTGCAAAATAAGAGGTCTCACCTTCAGCCATGGATTCCAAGTTGCTTCTTTAGTGCACCATTTCTCAACCTCATCTGTTTTACGATAGATAGACTTCAGCTCTCAAAGTTCACCAGCCAGCATGGAGAATCCTGGGAGTTGAAGTCCAGACATCTTAAAATTACTGAGGTTGGGAAACACTGCTCTTGTGCAGGGGTGTCAAACTCAAGGCTCGCAGGCCAAATCCGGCCCACGGGGGTCCTTAGATACAATCCACTGTTCTCCTCACTGTCTGAATCTGCTGCTGTCTCCGCAGGTTGTGGTGGACCTCAGTACCCACGGGGCTGCCCTGGAAACAGCAAAGGACCAGCCTGTGGTGCCTCTGCCAGTGAAAACAGGGCTCGTGAGGGCCACATGCAGCCCTCCCGGGCTCCATTTTTGCTGGCAGAGAGTTACAGGAGGCCGTCGCGGCTGGAAACAGAGCTCGGAAACCCGTTTTCATTGGCAGAGCACTCAGGCCACAACATGTGCCCCCAACATGAGTAATGTCGAGTTGGCATGCCCACCTTGGTCACGCCCACCCTGGGCTCCCAAAGTCAAACATAACCTTGAGGCGGCCCTCAATGAAATTGAGTTTGACACTCCTGCTCTAGTGGACTGAGGAGGTTTAGGCAGAGGTGGTATTCAGCAGGTTCTGATCAGTTCTGGAGAACCAGTAGCGGAAATTTTGAGTAGTTCGGAGGACCAGCAAATACCACCTCTGACTGGAGATTTTACAGTATCCTTCTTCCTCTGCAACGCTCACCAAGCCACACCCACAGAGCCAGTAGTAAAAATAATTTGAATCCCATGGGTTTAGGACAGTAAGTTGAAAAGTGGTGGATTTCAACTCTTCTCTTCTAGAAGTCCTCTTGGTTTTATGTACACTGGCCCTACTTCCTGTATGGCCAGCTGATTGATAGTGCTTAGTGTAAAACTTTAAATTGTCTCCATGGATCTGTATTCAGTGTCCCTAATACTGAAGATTGATGCTTAAGCTGCTGGTTGTGATTTTATCACCAGGGTTAGGGTGATATTATTTCATTTATCCAGATTTGGGTTTTGGCCTATTTATATTTGCATTTTTAAAAGTCATTTGGACTTCTATGCAAATTATATAATGCTTAAACTCTTCTTCGTGGCTGTGTAGTGTTGAAAAGGGGACTTTTAAAATAAGAAAAAAAACACCCAAATAATTATTTCATAATAGAGCATAATGGTATCATGGAAATTTTAATTTAAGAACTTTTGGAAAACGTATGATAAATCCAAAGGATCTGATAGAATTATTCCGTGGTGAGAAAGAAGAGAAAAGGGATAAAGCAGCACATATCATTCAAAAAACCTGGAAAAGATGGCTGGTAAGTTAACAATACTTCAAATACATTTTCATCCCTCGTTCTAGAGTAATAATGCTTTTTGAGCTTTTCAAGTGTATTTATGTAAACGTCTACACATTTTGGATGGAACCTGTAGGTCCCAAAATTGTTGCAGTTTTAAGGGACAAAATGTCATATTGCATCTACACACTTGTTCCCTTTTCTGGCTGAAGAATTGAAGGGGCATCTTATATCTATAAAAAACTCTGTCCTTCCAGAGGTGGTATTCAGCAGAGGTGGTATTCAGGTTCTGACCAGTTCTGGACAACTGGTAGCAGAAATTTTGAGTAGTTCAGAGAACCACCTCTGACTGGTCTCGCCCCCCATCTATTCTCGGCCTCCCGAATTCCAGCTGATTGGCTGGGTCTTCTTTTGTTGCCCTGAACAGGAGAACAGAGCTGGAAAGCAGGTTAGTTGGGTGGGGAGGGAATGGGGATTTTGCAGTAACTTTCCCTCAGGAATGGGGAGAGAATGGGGATTTTGCAGTATCCTTCTCCTGCCACACCCACCAAGCCATGCTCACCAAGCCACACCACGCCCATCCAGCCATGCCCACAGAACCGGTAGTAAAAAAAATTGAATCCCACCACTGTGTCCCACCACTGTTTCCCATCGTTCCAGGGATTCACACATCATAATCAGCAATGATGTGACTTGTAGTTTTTTGCTGACCATGATATGTGAACCAGGCAGTTTTGTTTTGTAAGCTGTAGTTGATGGTTTAAGAGAATGTGTGAAGCCAGCCAGCCAATTATGGTTTATTCAACAAATCATGGTTAATCAAGCCATGGAAACTTTTCCCTGATATGGCAACCAATAGTGAATTTAAAAAATAAAAAGAGCTCTATTTAATCTGTAGAATTTGGAGCCTAGATGATTTGAATTTATACTCGGAAGGTGTCATTTACAACAGGGGTCCCCAACCCCCCTTGTTCGCGGCCTATTGGGGAACTGGTCACACAAGTGGGCAAGTGCATGAAACTCAATTTGTGCATGGCACAGGATTAGGTTGCGTGTGTGAAACTATTCCCTTTCCCCCCACTGCTGCCGCTGCCGGTAACCACAGAACCGTAAAGGTTGGGGACCACTGATCTACAATCTTGACTCTAACCTTCTGTTTCATACTTGAGCTTCTTTTTGAACACTTGAAGGATTTGCCTTTTTCCAACAGTCTCTACCTGTCATGCCCCTGTTGGAATCTGAATCCGAGGAGGAAGACGAACAGCTGACAGGGAGCGGGAGTGTGGCTCTGTTGGCTGTGGAGGAAGCTAGAGAGGGAAAAGTCCGGCTGGGCAGAGCAGGGAAGAGGTAGAACAAGGGAGAGGGAGGTCAGAGGAAGACCCAGGCCCACCCCCTCTTCATCCTAGGGCAGACAGGGAGGAACGGAGAAGAGAGCAACATGGGTTGCATGGCTTACAGGGGAGGAAAGGGCTCTGATTCCCTTCATTAGGCACACCTGGGAAGAGAGTTTAAAAGAGATGCAAGCTGAGAGCGGCGACTGCTGGGAACAAACAAGAGTTTATCTTGTATTGACTTTGGTTATCTGCGTTCCTGGCATCCTCCCAACCGGGTTGAATTACTGCCGTTCCTTCACGCCTGGAATTCCTTCTCTTACCCTGCCAGACTAATTACCTCATCTTGCCTTGATTGGACTTATAGTTACAGTTTTTGTTGACAACATTTTGGACTTGAATCTCTGCAGCCAAAGGCTGTTCATGGGAGAGTTCTTCTCCAGCCAGAAGGTAACCAGGACATTGGGGGCAAAGTTGGAGCCAATAAAAGGACTCCTACTTATTATTTGATTGTATTGCCTTTGTGCCACTCGGTCATCACATTACCCAGCTAATTTCATCCAGCAGATTGGGCATGCTGCAGATCCTATCAGCCAGAGTGTCGGCTGGGGCGGGGGGGGCACTAAAAGATGGGCTTTTTCCATAATAGCCCCTGTTCTGTGGAATATTCTCCCCTTGGAGATTAGAATGGCCCCAACCCTGCTATCCTTTCGTAAGGCTTAAAAACGTGGCTGGGTACCTGAGCCTGGAGCTCTGAATATGTTAAGAGCCCCATTTGTGGCTGCACTGTTAATTGGCTAAGTACCTTGGCTGCTGCATACATTTATTTTTGAATGTTTCTATCATTTCAAATAGAATTATTTAAATATTAAATAATGGTTTTTTTATTTTATTTTTAATTGTCTTAAATGTTTTTAAAGATTTAGAAATGTAAGCTAGCCCAAGTTACCGGTTGAGGTGAGTGGCTATAGAAATTTAATAAGCAAGCAAATAAATAAACCTCACCATCACCTCTATGGACACCATAACATACAATCAGCACAATAAGAATTAATAATTGTGTCAGGGGAAGCCTGGGTGAAATGTTAAAAGAGCCCAGTGTCAGCAAATGTAATATTTGTATTTATAACTAGAGTGCATTTATTTGTTCCCTCCAGGATATGGGTGTATTTGAATACTATAAAGAGCTTATAGGCTTTAAGCAATATGGGGAACCTTCCCATCTTATGAAGTACATTGAGCCTAGAGAGGTAAGGGCTAAAATGAAGTAGTAAACATTAAGCATTCACACTTTTATAATTGATCCAAGGTAATGCTGCTCCATGGTATGTCTAACATTAACAGCAGTGTGCCACTTAATATGGCTTAACATGGTATAAGTTTGTAGTGAATATTTAAAAGCTACATTTCTTCTTCTTTCCCTTCCCCTTTTGTCTCCTCTTCTCCTCCTCCTCCTCCCCTCCTCCTCCTCCTCCTCCTCTTCCTCCCCCCTCCTCTTCTCCTCCTCCTACTTCCTCCTTCCTCCTAGCGTATTCCTGCAGGTGCAGGGCCTGTTTTTCAGACCACCGAATGCCATTTTGCATGGCCAGCTGTGTCTCCAGGGCACAGGCCCGCAACTTGCATATCTTTGTTGATGGTGTCTTGCCATCTCTGTTTTGGATGCCCGCAAGGTCACCAGCCATTGACTTCTAATTGGTAGGCAGTCTTGGCCACGGTGGAAGGTGCTGCTCTCTGGAGACATGTCCATACCAGTGAAGCCAGCCTTCTCTCATCTTCTCTGTAATTGGTGCCAAACCAAAATGTTGTCGAATGACGTCATTTAAAAGCTACATACCTATGTGCTAAACCCTCTTTTTTTCATTTTACTAACTATCATTTATGGCAGGAGGCCTCAAATTTGCACATGCAAAGAGAATTACTGCCAACGCTTACTTGCTTCATCTCAGCCTGGGCAAATGGATATTTGGCTTGCCATGCAAAGATTGGAGGGAATTCAGACAAGGCTCCAGCTTTGCATGGAAAAGCCCAACAAACTTGTTTGAGAAATTGATGGAGTTGGCTGAAATGGCAAAAGGGACCACTTTGATAAAAGAAAAGAACATAAAGTACTTTCGTTTCCACATGGAAACTGCTTCTGAACTTTGTGCTTGATGTGGAGAAGAATGTAACTCTGACTTTGGGTTTTTATAGATTACACGGATAGATCTTTATAGAAATGGCTTGTTTATGCTATTAGGAAAAAGCTGTGATTTGATGTTAAAGTCTTATTTTACTGTAACAGAGACTGTCAGAAGTCAACGCTTCTTTTTCTTTTTTTCTTATCTTTCCTCACTTCTTCCCCTTTCCTTCCCCACTGCTTTCCTATTTCCTTTGTATTTTGTATTACTCTATAACTCAATAAAAATATTAACGACAAAAAGAAAAGCACAACGAACTTGGCTTGCTTGGATCTGCTGATAGACCATTCTGCTTACCTGTATAAAACTGGATCAGTGTCAGATTTCTCTTCTACCTCCTCAAAAGAAAGTGGAAAGGAGACCCCAAAGAAGGGGTGGGCAACTATGGCCCCTTTATGACTCTCTAGACTTCAATTCCCAGAATTCCTGAGCCAGCTGGCCTAGCAACATTGGTTGTAAAGGGGCCATAGTTGCCCATCTCTGTCCTAAAGGTTGTTCTGATAGTGTTCTGGCTTTCCATGTGGAAACCTGCTCAGTTGTACTCACAGCTGAGTTGCTGCCAGAACTCTGTTCTTTTCCGCCCAGAATAGCCAACAGCCAACTCAGGATTTTCTGTGGTTGCAAATATTGATTCAAAATAAATATAGAATGAGAAATGAAAAATGTGTGTCTCAAAAATTAAACCCAGTTTTCAGGAATTACGTAAAATAAAGCAAGGTCATCTTTCCTGTTAAAATGAGGTCCTAAAGTCAATTGTTTTATTCCAATTTAATTTCAATTTTAAAAAGCAATATTCTATCACTGTTTTTGATATATAGAGTAATGAAGTTCATTAACTTTTTAAAATTTTTGCATGCTATCAGACGTAAAATTTTGTTTGATTACAGGCAGAATTTTTAGATGCTGCAGCAGGAGTTCATATTAAATTCAGACTAGGTGGGGTGAGTTTACATTTAACAATTATATTTTAATAATAATTAAAACAAGTGTACAAATATGAGTGCTTGTTCATGTTTGTATGTCTTTGTGTCTTTGTGCACATGTGCAGGTATGCACCTTAATATAATCACACAAAATGTAAATTTACAAAGAACACATTTTTTTCATACTTTAAAAAACATATTGTGAGTACTTGTAAGTTTATGCCAGGATTTTATCACCTGTTAGTAAAGTGCAGAAACTAAAACTGTGTAAGCAAAAAGCCTGAAGACATCTTTAAAACAGACTTTCTTCTTCATTTTACACGATGAGCAAAGCTTGATAGTAGAATGCGCCTGTGTGTGCACCTTCAAGTTACTGTTGACTCTTTGCATTGGACAAGCCCTTGAGGTTTCCTTGGCAAGATTTCAGAAGTGGTTTGCTAGTTCCTTCTTCCTGGGGCTCAGAGAGTGACAATCCAAAGACCATCCAGTGGGTTTTTGTCCCTAAGATGGGATTAGAAGTCGTGGACTTTTTTTGTTTCCTTAACTATTGCAACAAACTGGCTTTCACTATTAGAATCAAAATTGTGTTTTTTGAGCGCCAACTGCTTTGGCATTCATTGAAACAATTTACATTCTTGCAATGTCTTAGTAAAGGGGCACATAGTCTTGGTCAGGGGTCTTTAAACTTGACAGCTTTAAGACTTGGGGACTTCAACTCCCAGAATTCCTCCTCCAGTCATGTTTGCTCAGGAATTCTGGGAGTTGAAGTCCATAAGTCTTAAACTTGCCAAGTTTGGAGACCCTTGATCTTGGTCATGAGTTATCAGTACTGGTCTAGTTGAAGTAGCTAGAAGTTCACAGGAAG